CCACTTCAGTCCGTCCTGTCCTGTTGTACGACTGTGAAGCATAGCCGTCAAAAATAGAAAACACGAAGTGGTTGCAGGGTTGAGATCACATTTTTTAGAATCACTATGTGAATAATGTTGTGGTCAGGCAAAGGGTACTAGGCATGAGAAAGGCGACCGGATTGATGAGGGTGTGAACCTTCATCGGGTGAGGTGGATTGGACATGTGTTGCACATGTCGAGCCATCACCTACCTACAGGAAGTTGTATTAAGTCGGAAGAGGGTTCATGGTGGCCACACCAACACCTGACATCAGTGCATGAAGTCTGTGGATGTTGATGTGAGCCGTGTGGGGAGATGTAGAGTATCTGGCTTGGTTGTCTGAGATGATAGGAATGAGTGGTTGAGAACTGTCGGTGACATGGTTGAGAATCGGTCACAATGGGGTGGATGTATTCACTTCTTGACATCTTCTAAAGGTTTGATATTCTCACTGAAGGTAGTCTTCAGGATGTTTATTCTCTCGTGCAACTTTGTGTAGTTTGATACCAGTGTTTTTGTATTCACGTGTTGCTTGTAAACAAGTTTGAAGTGTGGTATTTTGAACCGATGTACGTGTGTGTGAGGTTCGACGTTGGTTGTGACATTGTCAGTCAGTGACGGGTGATGAGCTTTGGTTCACTGTTAGATTTATCGATATCATCAACTATTACGGTGGGTTCTGAGTTGAATCTCCCATTCCGTCAAATGACATGCATCGAGGCGAGTAGTCAGTGTGAATGCGTTTCCTATAACACAATGGTATTTTTCGAACAAGATTCACAACCATATTAATCATCTCATATTTTTGTTTCGAAGTAGTATTTATCATGGACAGACATCAGTTGGGGAACTATTGGAAATCTGGGGGCACTAAACAGCTGTCCCGTCCTAGTACGTGACTAAGCAGTACGCACCCATAACCGCCAGGGATCGGACTCAGGACCTTTATGTATCACAGCGAACGCGTTTATCACTCAGCCGCTTGGTCGGTTTATAGCGGTTCACAATTTCCAACTTCTTTCAATTCACGACATAGTGAGACTATCACCTAAGGTCTTCAGTTAGCATCTGCTTCACTCACGACTGGTTTACCCCACAGGTCACGGCTTCTCATTAGAGCTTCGTAATATCTATCTGGAAGCAAGTCATAAGGACGAAATAGCTGTCCAGTGCTCCCAGATTTTCAATGGTTCCCCACTGATGTCAGTCCGTGATGAATACTACTTCGAAATTAAAAGTCTCCATTCATCTCATATTTTTGTGTATAATTCTATGGATAACCATCTGATATAGTTTACCAAATGTTCCCAGTATGCACAATTACTTTTTCTAGAACACGCACACGCACACATATTCTCCGTCTTCAGCAATCACAAATCACCGTAATAGAGTTGAGTGAGGTGGATCGTTGTGCAATATACCCACCATCTGACAGATAAGATCCAATTTAACTTACCATAGAAATTATCTCCAAGTTAAGCTGTTCTCCATTAAACTCATCCATCAACTTGCGTAATTATTTTTAAGCTATTAAGATGAATTTGAGGTGAGTGACATTTTTTCAATTATTCTTTTCAAGATTTTGTGTAAAATCCTTCGAAACGGTTTTTATTAAAGATTACTTTGAGTTTAACTGACAAACAAATGAACACACTGCACATGATTCAATAAAATCTGTTTCATTAAAAATTTTAAATGAAAGTAATTTATAATTAAAACAATAAAAATTTATTACACAACTCTATCTACATTACTGTTATTATTGTCATGGTTACTATCATCAAAGTTTTTATTTTGTGCCTCATAATTATCTACAGTCACATGTAAAATAAGCATGTGCTGCTTTAATCTGTAAAATGCAATTGGGGATTTGAAACAATTGCAAATAAATGTGCATTGAAAATTGTACTAATTTACAGAGAGAGAAAAGGGAGAAAGAGGTTATATGCTTTGAAAGGTAGTGATTGAAGAAAGAATATCCTCACCAGATAGAAAATAGATTGAAACCAGAATAATTTTTTTCGAAAAAAAAATGGTATTTTATAACAGCCACCAATATCCGTTGTAACCATTTACAAAATCTGTCACACTATATTGACGATACCTTGGTTTTCCTTAAAGGGGTTAAAAATACATTAAAATTTTAAACGACATCGAATTCATAATGGAGAAGAAGTCGAAGAGTCAACTGCCGTTCTTGGATGTCTTAGTCAGTAGAATCAATACCAGAAAACTGGAAACTCAGGTGTACAGAAAATTAACGCATACTGAACAAATCTTCAACTACGGTAATAACACAAGAACAACGCACAAAATTAGTTGCGTATAGACTTTATCTAAAGTAGTAACTCGTGAAGAAATGAAGAAAAGTAGTTGATGTCTGTCCTAGAGGAAAAAAGTTTACTCACAAAATTTCATCAGAAGATATCTAATCAGTTCATCATCAGTTACAAAGTCATTCATGAAAACCATGAAACAAATCATCTTACCGTACATAAAAATTATATCATAGATCACGACAAGATTACTAACACCACTTGGAACTGTATGGTTTATAAACTAACATCTTCTTCTTCAAACCTTATTATTGGACACCAAAAGATGCAACAGGTAAAGAATATAAACCAAATATCATTTACAAAACTAACTGCAATAATTATGATCAGAGTACTGCAATGGAAAAGTGGTCGCCGTCTTCGTTTTCATTTATCCGAACACCGATTGGCGATTAAAGGTTATGAGATTTCATCGCTCATGCCAATGCACATGGATAACAAGTATGGACATGAATTCAAATTTGACATCGTAGAAATCGTGAATGGAGGGAATACAGAGTATCTGAAAATTCCTAGAGGCTTTGCATTCAGGTCAGTCAGCAATCAATAAATGTATAGACAAAGACTCAATTTATAAAACAATATGAAAAATGATAAACAGTCGAAAGGTCAGAGGTTAGGATAAGAAACAGCCAACAGGAAAATCTATGCAGTCATTGAAACAACAACCAAAGGAAACAAATAATCACTAACCACTTCACTATAGAAAGCTGCTGAATAACCAACTGGGAGAGATTGATAAATCAGTTCACATTGAAGTCAGTGCTGATGATCCTGTGTCGAAAGGCAGTGAAGGCTTCACAACTAAATCACCCAGCTAAACGGACTCAACACAATCAAGATCCTCCACACCATGCATATCTTAAATAGGGGAACACTTTATGACTTTACGCCAATTGTTATTGGGTTATAATGCACTAGTGATCCGGGTCCTGAAAAATCCGTTTTGTTTCAAATACACTCCTTTAAGAATCGTTATTATTATTTGTCCCTTAGGGCTTCAGTAGCATGTCACCACTTCATTCTTTTCTCTGCAGTCTTTTCAATCTGGCTCCACGACTGCCCAGAAGCTTTCATTTCTTCCTCACATCATCTCCATGTCACCCTCGGACATCCAGCTTGTCGTTTATAATTTGGATTCCACTCGAGAACCTGGAGCAGATCGGTTCCCATTGCCTGATGGCCTTCGATGCTCTTGGGAACATCATGATAGCCACTCCCTCGGTATGCTGATGGTTGGCGTCTGGGTGACCAGAGTAGATTATTGACCCTCCGGTTGACAGTTTGGAGAGCCCACTTCTACTCTAGTTGCAGATTCTTCTCAGATTCCTAGCATTTCTATGCCATACCATCTCATCTCTTTTGCAATCTGGACAGCCTTGCCAGCCAGCTTCAAACACTTTGCGGACATTCCATGTCCCCATTCTTACTTTCGCTTTCATCGAGAGAAGATAATATCGGCTAATTGGTTTCCCAAAGGCATTTACCAGCTGGCGTCATTTTGTCTCCCCGATTCCAGTAAAGAATAAGTTTATTTTTTATATTTTCTTTGTGCTTTGAATTTTTGTTAGCGATTGGATTGGTTTCATGGGGTAGGGTTGCTAGCCATATGCCCAACCTCCCCTCTTTATCCGGGTATAGGACCGGCTAGTAACTAGTGAACTAGTTAACTGGGCGAGGTTTTAAGAATCGTTAACTGATAGATACTCTGCAACGAAATTTGAAAGGCAGAAAATCAAGAGTTTTTGATTCCACTATAAAGTGTCTTGCGTAGAATATCCAGATGGTGGTAAGAAAGTCAGTAGGTGATCAATATTTGATACCACTATTAACAAGCCATCTATGTCGAAATCTTACATAACTAATACAGTCATATGCCATCTTATTAACCAGTTTCGGTTTCTGATATCAAATGGTTTCTCTCAACGAATAGTGTAAATAGATTGCATTGGGGAATTAGCTCCATTACACTATGAAATGCTTCATCATCATTAGTTATACTTCTTGAGCTTGATAGGTAATAACCTCAGACCTATTGTATTTTGACAGGGAATCGCACTATCGATAACCTAGATACCTTACAGTCTGAATTCCTGTGGTACATCCTCGGAAATACGACCGAACAACCGTCGCTGTGCTTTTCCTGTGTGCTTTGACACAGTAAATTCGAACTGAATTCTTTACTCACTTTATTATAGTACAAATCATTTTTATGGTTCTCACATAGTCACCTTTATTAATTCTTCTATCCTTGTCCTGTCTTTCTTTTGCGTCTTTAGAGCATTCATGGGCGTTTACCCTCAATGATCCTGCCAACATCTTTTTCCAATCTTTTAGGCTTGTTAACATTATGTCATAACTTCTCGTCCTCATTAGATGCATTTCCTATGAGCACAAACAATGTATGTAAATATATTTTTGTGATACTTTACGTTTGATTATTTAGGAATGCAAGTAGTTAACAAAAATTCCTGAAATAAAATGATGATATCACTTTATCCTTCTCAGTTTATTGTTCTTATTTTGTTTAAAAACTAGTAAACGGAAAAAAAAATTGCGGGAAATTCATATTTGGTTAGCCATAATATGTATTCTGTAACTAAAATATTGTTATAATTAACATGATTTTTTTTAAAGCTTACCAAAACATCAATCACATGCCAACACCGACGAGTTAAATCGACTTCATCAAAGAATATACTCCGATCAAGTATCATACAGACATTTTCAGCTGTAATCAAATCCTACATTGGTAAAGAGAAAGGTAAACAATATTAAAATATTTTCTAGTCAAAGTCTATTTACATTCAATATCAGAAATAAATAAATTGAAGCCTATGAGTAGAGATATAATTTATGCTCAACAGACTGTACCATGACCGATTTAACAGTTATATAATATCTCATTTTACAGTACAATTATTAGACATGCAGTAATTTACTCTAACTGTCTTGTAGCTGTACATGAAGTAAAAAAGGAGGAGTCTTTAGAATCTGGTAAGATCAAGGCTTCTGAGAACTTACGAGCTAAAATCTCAATAGTTATGAAGCATCGTTAGATCTTAGACTACATCTACTGATAAGTGTAAGGCACTATGAAAGTCACAACCATGCATCTACTAGAAATATGTGACAGAAAATGATGTACAATGTGTAATATACTCTTCAATCTGTTGGCCATTTTTATGAACTGAAATTGCTCTAGAAAGAAATAATTTTTCACATCTTTCGATAACCTACACATGTTTGTCTCTAGAAATGTTTGTGGAAAAATACATTATCTTACCCTATTAACGAGCTATGATCGAAAAACCATTGATCCACGTAGTAGATGAGCAGTGTAAAGCTTTGATGGATAACGACGTTTTGATGAATACACTAAACACGATTTATTATGAAGGTTTAGAGCATATTTCACGTCTTCAAAAGATTATAATAGACGAGTATTTCAATCTCAATCTGATGACCAGTTGTAATACTAGGAAAGGGGTTGACTTCAAAGGTCGCTCCAACAAATGCTAAGATAGCCAATCATAGTTCTCTCTCTTGTGAGAAACTAACCAACTAGTTAAAATACTGAGAACTGATTGGCTATTTTAGGAGTTAATTTTAAAAACGGCGTTTGTTTCAGGCCTAGTTTGGTCAAACTAATACATAATCGACAGCTGACCAGTCAGTCTATAGTAGGAATTGGTTAATAAACTTCATCCAGACTACATCAAAATCAATTTTCAAAACCCTGTAAACATGAAAACAAACCTAAGACAGTAAGCTGGATAAAAAATGTTAATAGTCAATTAACAAATTGTAAAATAACATATTTTCAATACAACTTAAACAGTTTTTACACGCATCATCACTGAAATAAGCATACTTTGAATTAATAATGCAGAGAATAAAATGATTGACCCATTAGATAAGTAAACAGTTGCATCCTTTCAATCAGTAGAAAGTTTAATTAACACATTGAGTGAATGAAAAGCTTGAAGTACCACTTCATAGAATAGTTATCCTTGAATGCATTCAACATTTTATGTTGATGAATATATATATATGTAAAAAGAAGTGAATATTTCAATAGGATGATGAAAAAATTACTTACCTTTAAATATTCAACACAAATTTGTGTTAAACGTGGTAGTATATACTTTTTTGTTGCATACAATACATAGAATAGTAAATTCAAATCATTTTCTAACAACAGTTCATCACTATATATGTATGATAGCATAATTTGAAATGCCTAATAAAAGAATAATAAAAATTAGATGGTTATGAAATAGATTTTGACATAAAAATCTTCATTGAAACCAGAAGTTAACTAAACAAGGAATGTGATCGGTTGATTCAATGATAATGGTAAAGACCAAACCACAGTGTACCATAGTACTGTATCATTAATCTGAAATCAGTGTGGAGATTTACTGCATTGCACTGCACTCAGCATAAAGAGCAAAATCCGGATTTTCAACACTAATTTCAGTCAAGTCAGTGCTTCTATATAATGGTTGAGAGACTTGATGCGTTACGAAAAACATTTTCAACAAACTACAGACATACATCACATCAACAGCTGCCGCTTACACTCACTCGATACTGAAGATCAGATCAGAAGGCCAGAAAGAATAAGCAAAAAGGAACTCATTGCGGCTGGCAACGAACCAACCAACAACCTATTGTTCAACAAATATACAGTAAAAGGTGGAGATGGATTGGATTAGATATACACTGAGAAGACCATTTGGGGACATCACGCGCCACGTCAGGTCCTTGAGTGGAATCCAAATGGTAAACGACGAGTTGGATACCCGAGGGTGACGTGAAGGTGGTGTGAGGAAGAAATGAAAGTTTCTGGGCAGTCGTAGTGCTAGGTTGAAAAGACTGCAGAGGACAGAGTGAAGTGGCGACGTGCTACTGAAGCCCTATATTCCACCAGGAACCCAAGGGACAAATAATAATAATAACAATATAGTACTGTATCATTTTGCTTAGAGATTCCAAAGATTGATCGATAAACTTCTATCAGCACTGAGCAACAAGGAGTAGACACTCACTGGCTATTAATTCGTGTATATAAAGCCATAGTCTGCTACTTCTACTTATTTTTAACCTTACCAGAAAGACTGGTCCCTCTTCATGAACGCCAGATTACCAGATCTCTTTATCAGTATTTAATCTTTGACAATCACAACAGTTAATGGTCATTTTCCAAGTGCTTTAAGCTTTTTCAAAAGATTATTAAAAATTATGTGGAATGTTGCCGGTATCTAAGCAATCAGATAAAAACATTAGATAATTGGCGCCGTATAATCTGTTTTAGAATTTGTAACTACGTAACTCCTAGGAGATGTTCTTGGGTTTTCAGCACTACTTTATTAAACTTAACCTTTCACAAGTATCTTTGGGCGTTAATCGTTTTCTTTTAGCTAAAAAAGTGTAAAATTTAGGTGGTTTTTAAAATGACACAACTTTTATTATCAAAGGTGAGTATCTCTTCACAGTCCTGACTTATATGAATATATAGATATCGGAGGCATCTTCAGAGATTTCTTTTATAAAACAATGGGTTACTTTTATCCATATTTGTATTATTTTTCAAACTACTTCAGGTACCAGTAAAGAGTACTCAGAGTAATATCATTCCTTCTGATCTAACTACATAGATGATACTGAACATTGGGAACAGAAGTTATACACTAGCTTATAAAATCATAAACCCGTTAAACAGTTTCCCATAACGTATGCAACAAGTTTTGGTCAGAATGTAATGTATATTTTGTGGTTCATTACCGTAATAGTGCTCAATATTAATTCTCTCTTCAACTTGTTAATATTGGTATCAGGCGGATGCAATTCAAATGAAAAATGAACACGTAGACCGAAAACTTAATCAACTGATTGAAGACAGATGACATAGAGTTCACAAGTTAGAACTTATTACAGATGGGCAACCAGCCTTGACTAATATAGTAATGCAAAAATTTTAAAAGACTTCATCTTGTATTGACTGTAGTCAATTATTGACACCTAGTAACGATTAAAGCTCACGTTGATTCATTTATCAGAAGACAGATATCCCTGTGGAGGTTAAGTCTTTCAGTTTTGATCAGAACGGATATAAGTAGTATATGTCAAGAGGGTGGCGGAAATCCTAAGGAATTACCAGCAACGGGCAAAGATTCTACCCAGAGGAATGCAAGAGACAATGCGGACGTATTAAGAGTTCAATCAAGATAGAAGGAGAAGAAGAAATGAAGCACATTCTGCAAATGACTGTCTTAGTGCAAAGTGTACAATATTTGATGACTAGTGTACAAGATGTCAATAATAAACATTCCTTCCTGCGTCTCAATCTTCTCGATCCCTTCAGTATATCTATAGCGTCTATCAGGGAGGTATTTATTATGTCTTCATGTTACAGAAGTGCTTTAAAAAGTGATAGAGAAGTAAATAAACTTTCGTAGCCTACGGCAACTTGGCAGATAGAGGTCTAATATTCAAAACCTTAGTATCAACATAGTGCTTAAAATCAAAAGCATATTTATATGATGAATAAACTTTCATATATTAAGACAAAGGCCAAATGATTGAGTTGTCATTAAGAGTTATGCATCTTTTTCTAGTGAAACAATGTAGACTGTGGTTGTTTACTAGCTAGTAGGTCATTCTGTAAAAAATCAATTTCTGACACAGTCTGCTAAAAAGAATCACTCTATTTTAGTCACTATGTCTACTAAATGCCCCCATAGAGTATGACAAACAATACTAATGGTTAACTGAATCACTTCATAGAATAGTGTACTGCTTCATTGATTCCGACTGCTACATTTGTAAGTGGTGAAGTAACGATAAGACGTGACAGACTTTAAATAAAGATGTCAGGCCATGAGCAGCGTAAAATATCTTAAGTGAAAACGAGAAACAACTGCATTTGTGTCATGATACCATCCACCAGAAATATTGTCAAATATCTACGATTCCCAGTTATTACATATTTTAGCTGGCGAAATTAGGAATTATTACACTCTAACCTTTAATAACCAGAGAATGCTTGAATTCCTTACACTTTTGATTATGATTTTTACAGTACCAGTTCCGTTCTATCTACCATCATCTATCAGAAATGCCTGGTTACTGTAAAGCGAAATCAATGATCTTATTTAATGTGAATCATATCAATACATTAACGGTTGTTAACTAGATGAGTGAAGATGCGGTTGCCTGACTTAAGCACTCAACTTCCAACCAATGAGCTCTCTTCCACTCACTTCGGTTTGGGCTGCCTGGCAGTATTCTAAGCCACTAAATAAGATGTGCAGCTTACAGCATAATACATAAATCCGTACCATATAGAGTTGCCTTATTATTATTACTTTTTATTTTGAAAACTAGATGAAATTTTTTCCGTATCACCCAGTTCTATAAGTTGATTTTATTATCAATTACCAAGTATATCAGATTTATGGTGGATATCCGCGTGTTTCGATAACTATCATTTGGTGTTTCAATGATGGAAAGTGGTCAGCAGTGGAATTCAGGACGTATGTTTCCTCCTATTTGGGACTTGTCAGCTGGATGTGCCTACCTCTCAGTGAGTGATGCTGTTCAACGACGGGATAATACAACCAACAAAACTAAAAATACACCCATCGCACAAGAAGTGGCTATCGTGGCTTGGTGGTCTAGTGGATAACGCTCTGACGTTTGAAGCGATCGGCCTCGAGTTCGAGTCCCACTGGGAACAACACTCACTGGGAGGCAGGTACATCCAACTCACATGTCCCAAGTAGGAGGAAACGCGCATCCTGGATTACAATGCTAGCCACTACACATCATCAACATATAATTAAAACACAGGCAGTATCGAGGCATTCCCACAAGGACCAATATGCTAATATTGACCGGTCAATTCGGCGCATTCCACGACAGGACAATTCAAGCAACAATATTGACAGCTGGTCTGGTTTTATGAACACAACAGTAGAACCTTAATTTAGTAAGTAATGAATAACCAAGAGCTAATATAACTGTATATATCAAGAAAATCATTTATGTGATGAACCAAATAACTCATTGTATATAGACTGTTTTTTTCTGTAGACAGTTACTAGTTTTCATCATCACTCCACACTCACAGAATTTCTCTCAATACCTTTTCAAACAATACAGACTGTCGGTGCTTTATACTACAACGCACACAATTCTTATGAGGCATAAAAGATTCATCTTTACGAATTAAAATAGCAGGTTAAACAATTTCAACGTAAATCTGTTAATTAGCTAAAATTTTCTCTGGTTTTTGCTCCAAACAATGACAACTGTATTATTATTTATTGATGTGTAATTCTGCGCTCTTATACTGGATCAAACTGATCCACCTCTGTTGACATATGAGCTCCTATGCGGATGCCGCGATATTGCCTGAATATTAATTGTTATAGCATTGGAATCCAAGATGCACGTTTCACCCTATTTGAAACTCGTCAGCTGATGTACCTGCACTTCAATGAATAATATTGTTCGCATAGACATTCGGATCAAGTAACCGTCACTTCAAACACCACTTCTTGTACAACGGGTGTTATATATTCCACTGCTAGCCACAACCAAGTCAATTATATTGAGAACTATTTGGTGCACTATAGTGTTGTGCAAAAACAGCACCTAAGGCATGATAATTACAATGGTTACCAATAGGTAAGCAATTCACATCATGAAAGTTATATCACAGCTATATGAATTCTGGAAACAAAGATAGACATATTAGTCAATCACAGTGAACATGTAAATGTACAGAGAAGAGTATAATTTAAATTCAGTTGAAAACTTCATTCCTGGCATAAATTAACGACAATTACAAATTGATTTAATCAATTACATTTCAATAAAACTCTCTTGAATATAAAATCATCTATATTTTTGTTGTTCTTATTGTTGTTATTGACTAATTCAGTTGATATAGTACATAGTTGACATTAAAACCATTAGCTAGACGTAAACAAATCCACAGGTTGAAGATATGTTGTTATGGTGATTGTATTGCTTTAAATATTTTCTCTTCTCATCTTGGAATCATTTTCTGATAAGATTATGTTTTATTTTCAGTAATGTTTAAAAATTTTTTTAATTTTATGCTAATTTTATGCTCCGCTAAAACCGCTCAATTAGTTGATTATAAATTTATTTGAGTGCACACATGATATTTATCATCTATGAATTAGTTATACTATAATTACGTGTATTCGAACAATGATTTATATAGTTCATTATCACTAATAAATTAATCAGTCCTAATTACTTTTTGTTTGAAAGTCAGTTGACTTAATAAATGAAAAATATTAGTCAAAAGTTCAACCTCATCAGTTGAAGACCTGTATTACTATTTTTTTAATTTTCCCTTGGGTTCCTATTGGAACATTGGGCTTCAGAAGCACGTCTCCATTCCACTTTATTCTCTACAATCTTTTCAACCTGGCTCCACTACTGCCACAAGCTCTCATTTATTCCTCACATGATCTCCTCCATCTCACTCTCATCTTAAACGCCCAACTCGCCGTTTCCCATCTAGGTTCCAATCGAGTGCCTGACACGTCATGTCCCAAATGGTTTTCTCAGTGTATGCCCAATCCATCTCCACTTCCTTCTGCTGCATATTTGTTGAGCGATAGGTTCTTGCTTCGTTGGTTCGTCACCAGCCACAATGAGTTCCTTGTTGCGTATTCTAACTATTCTGGTCATCTGAGCTTGAGCAACGAGTGTAGGCAGTTGTTGATGAATATTTGTAGTTTGTTGGAAATAGTTTTCGTAACGCACCAAGTCTGTGAACCATATAGCAGCGCTTACTTGACTGACATTGGTGTTGAAAATCCGGATCTTGTTCTTTTTACTGACTGTAGTAGATCTCCGCACCTGTATTAATATTTTCAAACTGATTGTATTCAAGGCATTTTCAATCAGATAGTGTGACCAATTAGGTAACAAGTAACCGACTTATGTAACGTTTGATCACCCATATTATATATTCAATCATTCCGACTGTTTAATAAGTTTGAAAGCAAAACCTTCCCAACAGATTTTGTAGCCCTAAAGACGACAAACAAACAAAACCATCAATCCAATCTGCAGTAACTTAAAACAAAGCTGACACTTTCTGTGAAACTGCAACCAAATGTTAAGCATAAATTATATGAAAATGTAATAATTATACCATTATAAAATATCATACAGAATACAGTAAGTAAGAAAATGATATAACAAGATATACCTACCTTTGGATGGATATCAGGAATATGATATTCTCGTCGATTTTCAGAGCCTTTATTATCACAATCAGCCATTGGTCCATAAAACATAGCTTCAAATACTGGTGAAGCAGCGGCTAGAATTAAACGATGAGCAGCGAAACGCCATATAACTAATTCTGTATCACTATTTGTTGTTGTTTTAGATGAACTATTAGGATTACCTATGCATACATCCATTTGTTTACGTCCATTTGTATTATTTGATCTAATTGAATGATGGTTCGAAGAAGAAGCATTGTTAACATTGTGCTTTCCATCTTTATTTCGAATCGATTGTGAATTACATTCATTTGATTTGTTGTTAAGTATCTGAGATCTACTTTCTTTACTATGATCAGAATGACAGGAAATCTGTTCACTATCTGAATTCAAATCAGTTGCATCGTCTATTGTATTCTCTTGGTCTGAATCGGAACATCTTGAATGCAGAGCATCAAAGTAGTCATTTTGCGCCTGACTATTAGTATGATTATTAGTAGTAGGACTATTATTATTATTGACAATAGTACTACTAGTATTACTTTTACTGTACATTATTCTTGATTTGTTTATTCCGTTTGAATAATTTGAAGCTCTCGATGAAATATTTAACATTTGTTTATTTGAACAACAACTCATCTGACTTGTTGGACCACCGGGTGCACCAGCATCATTTGATTGTAAGCTAAGTGGTCCACTGCTGCCTAGAATATCTTCACCACCGACAACAAACCAAACATCAGCAAATCTTTCACTGATAAGCATTTGACGCCATAACTGACGACTTCCAATAAGATTAGCCTATAATGTATAAAGATTTAAATAAGAGTTTTGAAATCTTGTACGAACATTTAGAAGAAAAGAGATATCAAAGACTTTGAGATAACGTTTAAACTGTCCAGTTCGTCAAGATTCTAAAGATGATGCATTATTCTTTTAGATGAATGGCTAAATAAACCAAAAAGTCTGTGAACGAACTAATTGCATTCAGAGAAGATTTTATCATGGATCCACATAACCTCGACGACCATTTAAAAACACGGAGCGCTAGTTTAGGTTTCCATCTAGATTCCATAAACAAAACCCCTATGGAGTATTGAGTTCAGGATAGTTAGGTCTCTTGAATAGCACATTTCTATTGAGTCATTGAACTGAAGTTCTACACTTCGTTAATCAAACTTCTGTCATTTAGTGCAGTCATCGCTAGACATTATTGAGGAATTTCTGTACTGGCATCTCTGACTGACTGTACAGATGAGATCATTTCATTACATAGCAGCAAAATCTAGAAAATGAAGTGGTTATATAATCACAATTAAAGTGCCTCGAGATATTTTTAGTGTCACCAGGACAGGCTGTTCAGATCAGTATTTATGCGCGGTTTCATAAGTTTCATGAATATATCTCACCATTTATCAACTTTCTCAGTTTTCATAGGTATTTCTCACGGTTACTTTCAAATGTATTCCAAATACACTTGTCAAAATTGTATGAGCATGAAGTGAAATTTCACTGGTTATATCAAAATAGCCATTGATACATCAAACTCTCCTAGAAGTCTGTAAAGCAGTGACTAACTATGGGTTACATCAGAAAATTCTCTGCGTTGATCCCTTTTGGTGATTTCTACTTGCATCAGTCTGGGCATAGTTCACAACCTGTAACTTTTTTGATGTGTACTATGTAGAAATTTTGAATTCTATGAGCGTGGTGAAGTAATCCTACAAAGACTCGTGTTAGATATTTATTCTGTGCTGAAGTAGATAATACCAACCAGCTGTGGGATATCTTGGTTGCATTGTGTTCTCTGAGCTGCGTTGTTCAACACAGTACAACCAAGACCATCTACCTGAGCCACAAATATTCTCCATTATTTCATGATGTTGGATATACCAAGGTGTTAACCGATGCTGCCAATATCTTAAATGTGACTACTACACAAGAATAAGACACGCGTATATTGATTAAAAATGCATAAAAATATACGCACAATAAACGTGCGATGATTATTTCTGGTTTTATATATCAAAAGACATAGGGTGACTGTATTCATATATTTTTTTCAAAATAATTAACCAGTAAGTATTGAAAAGCTGCAAACATTTGTTTTAATGTGCTGCAAATGTGGGGTGACTTTAAAGTCCACCCTAGAAACGATCGAAATAACCAATTAAGTTTCTCCATTTCAGCTGGAAAGGCAGGTCTTCATAAAATAGAGAAGTCTAATTGGTTATTTCAGTTGTTGCTAGGGTGTCCTTTAAAGTCGCTCCACATTTGATTCTTATACAGGCAGTAAGCATATTCTCTTCAAAAACCACTGAATCTACATTCAGCGATAAAAATTCTGAGCCTGAATTGCCATGAAACTATCTAGTAATGTATATATATATCCATTACTTCTATTACACAGATTTAAACATTTGAGCAGAAAAAATTCCATGCAGCTGTTTACCAATTAGTGTGAAGTAACAATTTCATTCTAGTGAGTTTGAGAATTCATACCGATTAAAAAGGAACTGAAATTTGTTGGTTTTCTTTTCTATACTGTCTTCTGTGTATTTGCAGGTATCATAGAAAACAACCTCTCTGTTTACACTTTATTTGTTAAGGTTAGTGAATACACTTTTTATATTTTGTTGGATTTTAGGAATTGTTGAAAAGCTCCAAACTTAAGTTGCGGCAAGACAGACAGACAAAATTAACGTAGAATCTCACACATAGGGGCGTCGGTCCAGGTTACCAAAGTTCGCAACAGTATACAAAGAAAAAGTGGTTGGGGAAAACTGATACAAAAGTAGACAAAGATGTATGAGATGAGATAGAATTCAAAATATTAAGATTAGTCAAAACATTCAGGCTTTAAAAGATATCAAAGAGTGAATATATCTGCACCACTATGACCGATTTTTAGGCATGTCAGCAACAGTTCTAAACTACTGATTCCTATAGTCTCGAGAACCCCAGGCAAGTGAGGTCTACATCTCCCCTACAGGGGTCACACCAATAGTCACAGACTTCGTTGACCAGGGCCAAGTCTTGGCTAACTTGAATCCTCTTCCAACCTGATCCATTTTCTCTTAGAATTGCACATTGTTGTAGGCGCTAGCTCAGCATGCGCAACATATGATCAAGCCACTGGAAGCTAACAACTTCATAGACTGACTTACCTTTCTTGCCTAGACTTCTTCACATAACCTCAAGATAACTCAAATGTTGATTCCAGCATACGTGAGCAATGTTACGAAGATATCTAGAAAAAAATCTTGTCACCCCTTCATGTCTTCCGCTTCTAACCTCCATGTCTCAGTCATAAAAACAGAGCGCAGTATAATCGTCCTTTGGTAGATTGTCAGATATCTCGCGAGTCAGTGCCAGGGATGACATAAGTCAGAAAATGCCAAACGGGCCATCTATATTTCCATTATCTATTGTTGACATTTATACTGAGCCACATGGTCATAGGTATTTAGACGGAAATTATTTTTTGACTGAAACAGCACAAAAAATTGCCTATTTTCTAGACAATAATGTACTCCTAACAGGGAGTATGTACTCTACTTACAGTTTCATCGTTTTTGTACACAGGAAATTTTTTGTCTCATATTTGGTTTTTGAAAGCTTGTTCGCTTGCATACTGTTTATTCTGCGAAAATTCAGTGTTTCTATGATCACCGAACAACCAGGTTACTATCTGGGAAGAGATCAACGCACATGAAACCAATAAAAGATGATGAAGGTAATCTAATTACCAAAGAAGAGAAATAAAAGAAACAATGGGCTGACCACTTCAAAAAGCTCTTGAATCGACCGCCACCTGCAACTCGGCCAGAAATACCACCTGTAGCCACAGAACTACAAGTGAACACAAGCCCTCCGACGAAAGTCGAAGTCCTGAACGCCATAAAGCTACTGAAATGTGGAAAAGCAGCAGGACCAGATGGGATCCCACCAGAAACACTGAGAGCAGACGCAGAGACAACAGCAGACATGCTCACACCATTATTGTAGGTGTGGAAGGAAGGGAAGGTACCTGCCCATTGATTGGAGGAAGGGCTACCTTGTCAAACTCCTGAAGAGAGAGACCTAAGTCTTTGCAAGAACTGGCGCGGAATCATGCTCCTTCCCTGTCCACCCAAACCAAGCAAAATATTAAGCCGCATCATCCTGGAGAGACTAAAGGAGGTGCTCGATTCAAAACTACAACCGGAACAGGCGGGCTGGCTGGATTCAGGAAGTGGAAGTACAAATCATGTGTGGACCAAATTGCAACGCTACTCTACACCTCATTGTCATAGAACAGAGTATAGAATGACAGAATGGAAACTCTCTACCTCAACTTCATCCACCTTGAATAGGTCTTCCACAGAGTCGACCTAGAAGTAAGTTAGCAGCTGCTTCATCACTACGGTTTCAGTACCACAATCCTTTATCAATCTCATTCAACAACTATATGAAGACACCACATGCCAAGCTATTCACAATGGGAAGCTCAGTGATGCCTTTGAAGCGAAGTGAAGACATGAGTGAAACAAGGCTCTCTACTACCACCCATGATCTTCCTGATTGTGGTCAACTGGACTGGACTGGATCATGCAACAAACAGTGAGGAGCGAGAAGAGAGGGATACGCTGGCTGGATTGCGGAAAACAACCTAGGATATCTGAATTTCGCCGATGACTTGTGTCTAATGTCACACAAACTTGAAGATGTACAGGTGAAAACTGAGAAGTGGACAGAAGAGGCGAGGCAGAGAAGACGGGACTTCAAGTGAAAGTAGAGAAGACAGAGGTGATGATGATACCCAACCAACACCAACAACAAGCTCCAATCACCATAAACGGGAGAAACCTAAAGGAAGTAGCCCTTTCCACCTATCTAGGCACCATCGTTTCAACTACAGGTGGTGGCACAGACGAGGACGTCGAAGCCAACCAGGATCTGAAAAGCAAGACAGGTGTTCATTAATCTGAAACCAGCGTGGAGATCTTCTTCACTCAGCATGTGGAACAACATCCGGATTTTCAATACCAATGTCAATCAAGTCAGTGCTGCTATATGGTTCACAGACTTGGTGCGTTACGTATACGTTGTGGTTATCTTTCAAGCCTGATAAATTATCGTTATAGTTGGTATCAGTAATGTTATGAATTGACGAAATCTACTGACGAAGTTGTGTTTCTTCCTTTTAAAATGTGTGGAATCCAACAATATTTATTAACAGAAACATAAGTTTTGTTGGTTACTTATTTTAACAAACATCAGTAAAACTAATTATTTCCAACTATCTGGTGTATAAAAGACGCGACATTTCAAATTAAATGATCAACAATGATTCATTTAAAGATTAACGGCAAGTTTCAATGTTTCAATTGAAACCTAAAAATTGTGCAGGTAACTGCGTGATCTGCTATAGTAAGTCTATACAAAACGTTGATATTCATCGTAGATTGATATTAGCTGAAGAACCATTAGAAACTCCACAGCTGTTTCGCCCGAGTACTGGACTCCACAGCAGGGCGCGCTGACGACCTCGCCAGGGACCGAACCCAGGACCTTCATGTTCTGCAGCCAGCACGTTACCATTGAGCCGTTTGGTCGACATCCAGTGGTCTACATTTTCATACTAGAACGAGACAGTTGTTCAGCGCTCCCAGCTTTCCAATGGTTCTTCATGATGAATATCAACCGGAAATCAATAAATAAAATCCCCACAAAACGTTCAAATTGAACTGCTTTTGTGTTTCATATGATAAATGTCAACGTATCCTCACACACATCATCAATATTCCTGGATAAATTAT